TAAAAACAATTTTCATTGTGGTAAACGAAATAATAACTTGATCTAAGTAAGAGTTTTTTTTTCTTCTTCTCAATTTGTAAAAAAATCCTTACGTGATAGAACAAAAATAATGTTATTTTCGAAATCTGCGTAGCGGAATTATGGAAAATCCGTTATTAAAACCAAAACAACTTTTATAAAGGCAGGCCTGTGTTATTAATAACTCCTAGTCTTCAACAATCGTTTATACGACGCTTTTGTTTTTCTAACGTGTTTCATGCACTTCTTTTACTGTTTCTCTTTAATCGAGGAACACAAAGCTGGTTAAACAATCTAAACTTGATTGGTAATTAGAAATATGTAATACAAGTAACTTGTGATAGCCATTGCTTAGTCATCGTTTCCGAAATAAAACAAGATGCTTACTAAGAATATTGCGTTTTTCTGCAAATTACTTAAAATTTAAATGACATCACTTACAATACAACGTTGTTGTTCTTTGGTGCAAATTCAGCTCGGTATGCAACATGTTATATTACACCACTTGTGAAAAGTAATGGTCTTACAGCACTCACCTTGATGTTGACCATAGTTATTGACCAGCAGATGATCCTGTTGTTAAATGTGTTTCGAATCTTAAAACAGACGTATATTTATACTGATTTCATTCCTATTATAAAAATTCAAAAATATACAAATACAGCATATGAGTTGTTTCATACCTTATCTTCAAAGTAACTTGTTTTCTACTTTGGTTGTAAAAATAAGCAGACAATTAGTGTTAAAAGGAGAGACAGAAGACCTTGTCTTGCAACAGCAGCAACGTGCGATGAAACGAGAAAGATAAAAATTTAGAAATAACAAGATATATATATATATATATAGTTTACTTATAGTAAAATACTATCTTCAGCAACTTGGCATGTAATTCATTGTTATCTAAATTACCTTCGTATTTACTTGTTTGTCTCCTTTGTAAGATGTTTTTAAAAGTCAAGTTATATATATGTGAGTCTGTTAGAAAACGGAAACATTCAATTATTTCAAAGGGAAGATTGTTGAACTGTCTCTTTTTTTTTTCACGTGCAGTAAAATCGTGTTATTAATACATGGTGACTACGTCTTTTTCCTGTAACATTCACGTCAGTAATGAAAATGCTGAGAAATTAGGCTAATTATTACAGTAAAGTGGTGTTTATTGTTTAGTTAATTGCTTGATAGGTGACTCTAGCTTACAGACAGATAACGTGGCTTGTAACAATGCATTGTTACAGGAAAATTGAAGAATGTTCTGTTTTATATTCAATAATGTTTCGGTACGCAATAAGGAAGTATTCTACTTTTAAAGGCTTAGTTAGTTCCAAACTGTTTCTTTATCTGTTCAGTAAATTCCTTTCGGTCGATATTACATATTTAGTTATTAACTATTTCATTTTAACTTCGAATATCTATATAATGACCTGAATGGATAAATCTGGCTAATTTGCGTCACGTGTTTCTTGTTGTTTTTGTTTGCGCTCGGTTTTCCACACAAAGTGTTTTATGTTGATTCATGACTTACTATCCTCCGGTGTTTTAGTCTTTCAAAAGCTTGATTCCACGACTTTGATATATGATATGCACAGAGAACATATTCACTGTGATTTTTGGCTCAAGAAAAATAGTATCGTGTTTATGAAGAGCATTGTGATGCAGTAACCTAAAATAAAAAGTTCGTGATCCTTTTTTATCCGGGTGTAAATATATATATATATATATCGATGGAGTTGTTGGGTGGGGGGAGTGAGTTTATGTGTGAGTATGTCACTTGTTGACAGTTTACGATGCAAAGAAAAACATATATAGTTTTAGTTTAGATTGTTAAATACATAAAAGTATTAATCTAATAAACATCTGAGTTATCTTGCTGATACACCTGTTTAAACATCAATTGATAATGAAGATAACAAATTATCTTGTACAAACGTTCTGTGTTATGTCATTTTGTTTGATTAAAACATTGTGTAATAAACAAAAGCCAGAGGACTGGAAGTTAACTTGTGGAAACGTTATGTACATATCATGTTGTCCTATCTTAATGAAGCCCACTTTTACAACTAAAGACTTGAGGGTGGCAAGTTAACTTAATGAAACGTTATATATATATAATATTGTCCTATTTTAATGAAGCCCACTTTTACAACTAAAGACTTGGGGGTGGCAAGCTAACTTAATGAAACGTTATGTATATATAATACTGTCCTATTTTAATGAAGCCCACTTTTACAACTAAATACTTGAAGGTGGCAAGTGAACTTAACGAAACGTTATGTATATATAATATTGTCCTATTTTAATGAAGCCCACTTTACAACTAAAGACTTGAGGATGGCAAGTTAACTTAATGAAACGTTATGTATATATAATATTGTCCTATTTTAATGAAGCCCACTTTTACAACTAAAGACTTGAGAGTGGCAAGTGAACTTAACGAAACGTTATGTATATATAATATTGTCCTATTTTAATGAAGCCCACTTTTACAACTAAAGATTTGAGGGTGGCAAGTGAACTTAACGAAACGTTATGTATATATAATATTGTCCTATTTTAATGAAGCCCAGTTTTACAACTAAAGATTTGAGGGTGGCAAGTGAACTTATAGAAACGTTATGTATATATAATATTGTCCTATTTTAATGAAGCCCAGTTTTACAACTAAAGATTTGAGGGTGGCAAGCTAACTTAACGAAACGTTATGTATATATAATATTGTCCTATTTTAATGAAGCCCAGTTTTACAACTAAAGACTTGAGGGTGGCAAGTTAACTTATAGAAACGCTATGTATGTATAATATTGAAGCTAACTTTTACAACTGAATCTCTCAAATTATCTTGTACAAACGTTCTGTGTTATGTCCTCTTGTTTCAATAAAACATTGTTATGTGTTATATGCTCCAGCTTGAGTAAATAAACACCTTTTTGTAATTAAACTACCGGCCTATGTTGTGAACTGATGAAAGACAGTTAAAAATGCAGATAAAACACATTCAGATTAATGATCAGGTAGTGATCTTTAAAGAACAAAAGTAATAGTAATCATCATCCAGATATAACAGAAGAAATTTAATTACAGAAATACAGTTAATTACGTGTACAACGAGGAATGTTTTTTTTCTCCTTGTAATATTCTCTCTGTTCTACATACTCACGCTGTTTCTATGTGTTCGTAAGTCAAACAAAATTAACCTAATTCCTGAAAGTAAAATAGACGCACTAGAGCCAGATATAGGCCAGGTGAGCTTCAGAATGTGATGTCTGACTGCGATAAGTTTAATTATTCTGAAAATACGACATATTACGTCGGAAAAACCTCAGTATATTAAAATACCTCGTCGCTATCCTACAGAATCGTAATCATATACATATTTTAAAAAAATATTTTCTAAACTTAAACCACGACTCACACGATCATATTCTGAAGGAATAAACATGAGAAATGGGTCATTTCCTCGAAGGTTCTCTTTCACGAAATAATGCTTGCTGACGTCTTGAAATCATTATTAGTCTCGAAGTGGGTTTCTCGTCATCGAATTATCTTTTAATTACTAAATAAGCACACACATATAACGAATTCGGACGTCCTCAGTTAATGGACAATAATCTCTTCCTCTCCTTCCAGATCATGATTTCCATAACCGTATTTAGTATTGTACAACGTATTTGGCATCACCCTTCCAGATCATGATTTCCATAACCGTATTTAGTATTGTACAACGTATTTGGCATCACCCTTCCAGATCATGATTTCCATAACCGTATTTAGTATTGTACAACGTATTTGGCATTACCCTACCAGATCATGTTTTCCATAACCGTATTTAGTATTGTACAACGTATTTGGCATCACCCTTCCAGATCATGATTT